AAGAGGCATCGTGTATATACAATACTATACTTAAATTTTTTACTTAAATAAGAGTATATATATATATATATATATAGCAACAATTAAATTCCAATTCCGTTTCATTCATACGTGATACACGAGAGAAAAAGAGAGAGAGAGAGAAAGAAGACGAACCTCTTAATAGCAACGATAAATCTCGCAAGGTGTTATACGGTATCAAGCGTAGCCGAGTAATCCCGAGCAACTTAAATCATCGTGCGCATCAATTCCGGCGGCAACGATCGGCCGCGAAAACAACACGGGGGCTAATTATTCCTGCTCTACGCGCAATCATAAATTTCATCTCGCTCGCCTAATAAGAGGAACTCGAATGAACCATCGCGTCAATTCTTCTCTCGACGTGACGGAAATTGTTCGAATTTGTAGCAATTTCAGAAAGCGAGCTGGAAACGAGAAACATCGATTCGACATCGAGGCAGAAAAAAGAGAGAGAGGCGGTTCGAGGAATGTTTGGAGGAGGGATAAAGAGGAGCGAGAGGGACGTGGTGGAGCAACGATCAATGTCGGATGTAAATGCGGCCCGATGCTTTATTACTGTAATTTCATTTAATAAATCTTCCTCTCCGGGAGCGAGAATTTCAGGCAAAATAGATTTTTAATCTGACGGCTATCAATTATAATCGGTGGAATAGTTTCGACGCGACACGAGGCTAAAGATATAGCGGAGGGGTGTCGCTCTCCTCGGCTTCCTTTTGCGCTTCCGCCGCCTCACGAGGGAAGAGGTGGCCACTCTTTGCACACCGAATATCGCATTTATCACGCGGCTCGCATCCCCTCGGGCCGCTGAATCCTCTTCTGCCTGTTCTTGTATTTTCCTCCGTCCTATGACGAATATTTATCATCTCGATCTCTCTCTCTCTCTCGTTTACATCCCCTTCTTGTATTTTTCTTACACCTTATCTTTTTATTCCTTTACTCCCCTCTCTCTTTTTCCTTTCCATCCTCCTATTGTCGTTCCCCCTTTTCCTTTATCCATGGATGGAAGAACGGCTTCCAGCCTGTTTAAATTTATATATTCCATCGAATCTCGCGAGGCTAGAGAAGGGAAAGGTAATTACCCGGCCAGGTAATAAGAGATCTCCTGTTTCCGAATGGAGGGGAGGAAGAGCAGCCGTGCGAAATCGAAGCATTCTTCGAGGAGGATTTGAATCTCTCTATTCTAATTTCTCCTGCGATATAAACAACTGCGAAATAGTAGAGAGAGACAAGAAAGAGATTCGAGGAAAAAAGAAAAAAATTCATCTCGGTTTGTTTGAAAATCTCTCCTAACAATTTACCTTCTTCCCTCTATTTCGATCCCTTCGAGCGTGGTTTCGAGCAGCGAGAAAGGGTTGGAGGAAAACGGAGGGAAAGTAAAAAACCTCGCTCTTTGTCCCTGCACCCTTGTCCCAGACGAGTTGTCGGAGTCGGCCCTCTTCTCCGTGCAAAAACCTCGCGGATATTCGCCACCCCCTCCTATCCTCCTCGCCTTCGAGGACCTCGTCCATTTCGCTGCCTCCCCTCCCAAGATGATTCTCCACCAAGATGAAGCGATCTTAGCAGCTTATCAATCCGCCACCGGAATCGCTTTTAACGAAGCCGAGAATGTATACTTAGCCAGGATCGTACGTGGAAAAAAGATTCGTTCGAAGAAGAAGCTCTCAAGTTGAGACCGAGAGAGTCGCCGTCGTTTCCTTCCCCTCTTTGTTTCTAATTCAATGGGGAAAAGTTGTCTTCCAAGGGATGGAGAGAATTATGAAACGGATAGCTCGTTGCCTTCGTTCCAATTCGAGATGTCTCTCGATTGTTATTAAGATAGAAACCCGTTGTCGACAAGGAAGGGCGGGGGACCCCTCAGAGCCAGGATTCTCGAAGCAGCTCCTTTACCCATCCACCTTTTCAAACGTGTAACGAGCTTAAGAGGAACGGATTCGCGAGTTGTTTTAATAACGAGCTCGCTGCTCCCCTTCCCTTCGTGATTTCATAAACTAATTCCAGAGAATTTGGATTGAATTTGATGATGAAATTTATTTATTCTGCGGTTCGGTTTTAAGTAACCGTCTTCTTTCGCGAATGGAATTACCTTAATGCACCCGGATCCTTATTGATTACGATGTTTATCGTACTCGACTATTCGGAATGATTCAATTTTTAACTTTTGTTTTATTAGAGTTTGGATTATTATTTAAAATTCCGTTCAGGGAAAAATTATTCTTCTGGAAATTTATTTGCATCGTTAGATTTATATTTCAATGGATTCCTTGTTAAAATAATGAAAAATAAAACGAATGCAATTCTTTTTCCTCGTCGAATCGACAGATCACATGTCGCTGGGAGGGCTTGGCGACAGTTTCTACGAGTATCTTCTGAAAGCGTGGATCCAATCCGGCAAGGAGGACGTGGAGGCCCGGCAAATGTACGACGAAGCGATCGTCGCCATAGATCAACACATGATCAAAACGTCGCAGGGCAAGCTGCTCTACGTTTCAGACTTGAAATACGACAGGTTGGAGCACAAAATGGGCCATCTGGCGTGTTTCGCCGGTGAGTTAACCTTCCCTCTCGTGACAAAATGTGACAAAGATTTTTAAACGAAAGAATTATCTCGTCTCGAACGAAAGTATAAAAAGGGAAAAAAAAAATTGATTCGCAGGTGGTATGTTCGCGTTAGGCGCGAAAACATTGCAAAACGAATTGTCCGATAGATACATGACGATAGCCGCCGGTCTGACCAACACGTGCCACGAGTCCTACGATCGAAGTTACACGAAACTCGGCCCGGAAGCCTTCCATTTCATCGAGGGGAACGAAGCGAAGAGCTTGAAGAACGGCGAGAAATACTACATCCTTCGGCCGGAGGTAAGAAGGTGTTCGCTTGGTCAAAAGAATGAACCGGTCGGTCGAAGCAAATGTCAAAAGAGAGTAAAGATAAAAATGTTTCGAAAGCATTAACGAACGAAAGAAAGAAAGAATCCTTCGAAAAATCCTTTCGCGAGCCAACTCTTCGAAGTGAAGTCGCGATCACTTGGCTCCATTTTTGTTACAAATCGAACCGAGCAATTCGAAAAATAAATAAATTAACTGTTCCTCGATTCTTCGTGCGAGAATGCGTATCGTTTTGAACGATAAAGAAGGGGGGGAAAAAAGAGGAGGGGGACAGAGGAAAGGAAAGGGGAAGAGATACGCGTGCATAAGTCGTTTTAAGCGAAGCCATTCCATTGGAAGCAATGGAGCGAGCAAAGAAACGAGAGGAACGTTTCAGCATTTATTTCCGGATGTTTTCTCGACCGGTAATGAAAGCTGAAATATTCAATCCGTTCTTTTTCGCGTGATTCGCGACGGGACAAACGGAGAGCCGCTCGCCAAATTCCGAGGTAAAATATTTTTCTTTCAGACCTTCGAATCGTACTTCGTGATGTGGCGGCTGACAAAGGATCCGAAGTACCGTGAGTGGGGATGGGAGGCCGTTCAAGCTCTCGAGAAATACTGTCGTGTTCCAGGAGGGTTCACGGGACTTCACAATGTTTACCTGGTCGATCCGCCGCAGGACGACGTCCAACAGAGCTACTTTTTCGCCGAGACGCTCAAGGTACGAAGATTTCTCTGAAGAGAAATTTTTCTTTCTCTCTTTCTTTTTTTTTTTTTTTCTCTCTTGGAGAAGATTAATCTTAATCGATGAGAAATTTCATCGTTAAATTATATAGGTCTGTTCTTACAACGATTGAATATCTTGTGATACGATCCGCATATGTCTATAATTAGAAATCTCGAAATAGAATCGCACGTGGAAACCTATGAGATTAAACAGGCGTATATGTAAATGCATTTCCTATAGAATGGAACTTCGCTAATACTTCCCTTAAACTTCGCGTAATTCCCTTTATTAGTTACTAATCAAAATGATGGGAATTCGCGTTCGGATAAGTGGATTAAATACAGGTTCAATTAACGGAATATTAGCTAAAATTCTGCTGCGAGAAACGTGGTTTTATTTCGATGCAAAATCCAATTTATCGTGTTATGATTTTTTTTAATCGACATCACAGAAAATTTTTCATTCATTAGAAAGTAATAGTAATTGAATTAGGCGGATCACACTTTCCATAAAAACATACTGTTTGTATTAAATAATATATCTATTATCATTCATATTAAGTTTAATTTTCCTCCAATGGTCCCACGATATTAATTAAAAGTGGAAAGAATCGAGTGAAAGTGAAAGATATCGTGTTACACGAGAATATTTTATATTTCTTTATCGCGGATATTAATTGTGTTACGAAATATGATAACGGCAATAATCGTTTAAACGAAAAAGAAAAAAAAAAATGAAATATGTGCATGAAGAATTTTCTACCTTGAAATATACCTTAATCGATAGAAATAGTAACATGAACGATGCACTTGTTTTATCTTCCACTTCACAGTAAACTAAGAAGATCAACTTTAATACTGCTATTAGCACGTGGTCCGCCATGTTCTACCACAATCTATTCCCATTCCCAATTAACGAACATTTCTCTTGCACCGTTACACCGTTCGCGTTCACAAATTCTCGCTTAAACTTTCGCGTGCCCGATGAAATATTTTTCGACCGTTTGCAACGCGTTTAAAGTTGCATTATCCCGACTTGCCGAGCTCTTTAACTTCGTATTAAAGGTGGTGGTAAAAGGCAAACAACTGGTATGCAGGAGAAACGATCAAAAGGCACGTGAAAGCAAAAAAAAAGTGAAGATTCTAGATTTAACGAAGAATTTGTAAACACCGGATTTTTCACGTAACTGTTCAAATATTTAACCATCGTCATGGAAAATATATCGTATTGCGTGAAACATGCTACGTTACGTCCTTACATATTTTATATCACGATAACGAACTGTTGCATGCTTCGACTTTTCGCATAAAAAACGTAGGAAGAATTAAAAATTTTGCCATCGAAATCCACTCGAAAGATAGAGGATACTATGTCATTGAAATTGCTTTTTGTTTTATCCCGATATCTCGATCCGTTACCGAGATATAAAGAGTCAAAGTTTTCATAGCGGTGGAGACCAGCGCAAAGATTATGAATGGGCTCGCGACCCAGTGGCCTACATTATTTCCTGGAAACGCGTACTACGTTTTTCCAGGAATCGCGTCTGTCGCTTGTCTGCAATTGGGATAGGTCAGCGAGACGAGGTGCGAGCGAGAGGCCCGAATTAACAACAAGGACGGT